TATTACTTAGTAAAATTGGAACCATTAAATTGTAATTTTGAAATGTTATCTATACCATAAAAACAAAGACCCGCCCAGTCGGACGGGTTATGATCTAGTTTCTAATTAAAGAACAATCTACCCATTAATATAAGCAACACTTGTCCATAGAAACAAGTTTAGCTGCACCTAAAGCAAGCTTCTTTACTTCTTTTCAAGTCTACATTAACATTAAGAATTACATAGAATCTCTCATCTAGTCTTGAATAGACTCAACTTTTCCTCGCTGTTACTGTAAAACAGAGTCTTTACTCTGTTTCAAGAACTTGCTACGTTTATGTCATGATAGTTCTTGCATTACATTTTATGAAACTGAGAAATAGATTTAACAGATTCTTGGGATGGAAGTAAAGATAGATGACGATGATGCTGAAGAATTTTTTCGGAACTTGTTAGGGCACGTTTATCGCAGGTATAAAGGGGATTTTTTAACCCCTGTTTTTTTGAGAAAACGATCACTAAAGTCACTAATTAAGGTTCGATCTTTGTGGGATTTTTTCACTGTGCGCGGGCCCCACTGACACATGGCGGCCCGCGATTGATGTGCTTTTAATTTTTAATTTTTTATTTTTAAATCGACAAAAAATCAAAAAAAAAGAAGTTAAAAAACTTTTATGGATTTAGGGGTTAAACATGGTCCTAGCATAACTAAATGTAATAATCTATGATCTATAAAAACAAACTTTTGTTGAAAATGTTTTATAATTTTTTTCAAAAACCATAATTAAAAGACTTGCAATAAACCATCTAAATGTTTAAATCTTTTTCTAAGTTTCTTAATTCACTTTTACACTTTAAAAATTATTAAAAATTAACTAAAAGATCCTTTAAAAGGTTTCGGGATGATGATGCTCTTAAAGACTACAACTTTTAGAACTGAAGTTTCTTGTTGAGGATAAGAAATAATCCACAGGAAAATATTTAATTAGATGTCAGACGCAGTTTGCACTTGCATGTTTTTTCCTCTGTCTAAACGAAATTATTCGATATCATAAATACTATATATGTATTATAATTATACATACAAAATCGTAAAAGTACCAAGAAGCTGATAATTGATGTTGATTATTCGTGTCTCACAAAAACAAAGCTAAGCTTAACTTACTTTTCATCTGACGTGACTCAGGAAAAGCCAGTTGTCAGTCTATATCACCATTTTGTAATCTTACAAAACAAAGCTAAGCTGAACTTGTCATCTGAAGTGACTCAAGAAAAGCCAGTTGTCAGTCGATAACACCATCTTGTGAAGAACCTCTTACTAGGCAATAGGGAATCGTACGTGTTAGCCTCAGAGACCTGGAGAGAGCTCGAAGACAAATTGCTAACATATTAATCGTACGTACGTGATAGTGATGTACCTCCTCACAACTCCACCGCTTGGTGTATTTTTTTTTTCTGTTTGTTTTTAGTTTGAATCCAATATGACATGTATCTTAAATTAATAGCTTTTTATTACGTAAGCCAGTGCGGCTATAAATAACAAGAGGACTTGTATAGTCAGTTGCATAGCACGAACTAAAGATGAATAGCAAGACGTTTATCGTATGGTTTATTTTGTTAGCGGCTGTTGTCGTGACCGTCGCCAAAGAGGCTTCAGTGGAGAAAGAAGGTGTTTAGTATTCTTTTATTTCATTTTTTAAATTAATAGAATTCTTGTTAAGAGTAGGTTAATTTGAAACAGATGCTAAGAAAGTAGAAATACCAGCCGTGGAAGGCAAAGGAGACGCTGCCGCTGAGGCAGTCGTTGAAGAAGAGAAGGACAGCAAGTATGACGTTGATAACGGAGGAGGATGGAAAGGAGGCGGTGGTAGAGGTGGAGGATGGAAAGGAGGCAGTGGTAGAGGTGGGGGATGGAAAGGAGGCGGTGGTGGAGGATGGAAGGGAGGCGGTGGTGGAGGATGGAAAGGAGGTGGTGGAGGTGCTGCGGTTGAGGCAGTCGTTGAAGAAGAGAAGGACAGAAATTATGACGTTGATAACGGAGGGGGATGGAAAGGAGGCGGTGGTAGAGGTGGGGGATGGAAAGGAGGCGGTGGTGGAGGTGGGGGATGGAAAGGAGGCGGTGGTGGAGGATGGAAGGGAGGCGGTGGTGGGGGACGGAAAGGAGGTGGTGGAGGTGCTGCCGAGTTGGACACTGAGGAGATTAATGGTGGTTCAGAAGATGTACAAACGTATAGAGGCGGTGGCCAAGGAGGAGGATGGAAGGGAGGCGGTGGCCAAGGAGGAGGATGGAAGGGAGGCGGTGGCCAAGGAGGAGGATGGAAGGGAGGGGGTGGCCAAGGAGGAGGATGGAAGGGAGGCGGTGGCCAAGGAGGAGGTTGGAAGGGAGGCGGTGGCCAAGGAGGAGGTTGGAAGGGAGGGGGTGGTCGAGGTGGCGGTGGTGGTGGAGTGTAGAATCGACATCTTTAATAACTACAAACTAAATATTAAGAATAGAAATGTATGCAAAAGGTGAACTATCATAAATAAAGTTTGATGCATGGTTTTGAAGCACGGTTAATTAGGCCAAATTAACGTCAAATATGCTTCACTCTCCAACCAATCTCCAACCAAACGGTAAATCCAACAGCATAAATAATTTTTTTGGTGTTTTGTGAATAGTGTTGCACTATATTTGATGTAACACTATTCCTAAAATACTAAAAAATAAAATAATTTTTTACTTTTACTTTTATCTTAAAATAGTATATTTAAATAAATATATATCAGTTAATTATATTTTTATCATATCTTAATAGGAAAATTAATTAAAAATACAAATAAATACCATCAGTTAAAATAATAAATTAATGAAAACATATAATTACGTAATTAAAATTACACACACATAAAATTATATAATTAAAATTATAACCACATAAAATTATACGATTCTGAAAATTAGTATGATGTATATTGTTTTTGGTTATTTATACTAATTCTGAAAATTAGTATGATATATTTGATTTCTGATATTTATATTTTACATTGTAATTTTGTTTAACGGATTGTAATCTTATATCTTTCTTAATTAATTACTTAATTATTATTATTTATCAAAACTAAATAAATTATTCTAATTACTTTCTTGTTTTCAAATTATTGATTAATATTTACTTTTTTATCAATTGGAATTTTATATTTTATTTATTAATTAGTCAGTTTTATAAATAATAATTAATTATTAAAACTATTAAAAATAAACAGTAAACTAAATTTAATATTATAATAATAGAAATATTCTTTTTAGTGTGGAATTTGGTGTTTGTGGTTGGAGATAAAAAAAAAGTGAAATACCAAAACATCAAATTTAGTGTTTTTTACATCAAATTTGATGTGTAGGTTGGAGATGCTCTTTGCTGATGCAGTATGCTACATAGCCTAGCCCGAACCTTAAAAGGTCGTGCAAATAATATCTTTTTCTTTGAGTATAATCAATATATATTTGCTGTTGTTAATTTTATTTAACCTGAAGAAGATTGAAAATTATATGCTTATACCGACGTTGAAGAAGATTATTTATATAGCAGAAAACAACACAATAACAAGAAAACAACACAATAACAGAAAACAAAAAGGTTTTTATGACGAAAGCTTAATCATCTGTCTTACTTGCTAGATACATTATCGCAAACCTACCGGAGTACTGATGGGAAAAAAAACTTAGGGTTTGATCGCTATTGAGATGCTGAACTGAGAGAGAAGAAAATAAGGACGAAGAATAAGTTAAAATATTTGCTCAGTGGTGGATCCACATGGCCAAGGAGAGGGCAGCTGCCACCATGAAAAAAAAAAATAAATTATTAAAATTTATTTTAACTAAAAAATTTTATCACCATGAAAATTTGTTTTTTCTTTGCCCCACAGCCCATTCGATAATGCTAAAATCCAAACCGATTTTATAAATAGGGAATTTCTACTCTATAACGTCCAAAAAATTATAATTCATGCGATAGGCAAAATCTAATATTTTTTGAAAAACATGTCTTTTATATATTATTACAATAATAGTAGTCTTTTATCTAACTGGGAAAACCTACAAACACAAAATAATTAATATAATAATAATTATAATAAAAGTCACTGTGGTCACTAGAAAGTCACATATGTATTTTCTCTATTATACTATCTTAAATCTATTTAATCTGTTATATTTTGAGTGTATACTATTTGAGAAGCATAAAATTTTAAATAGTATAAAATTTTACGTTTGTCTTTATAGTAATCGTTTTTTTAGAAATGCAAATTGAAAATAAAATAGACAATGGTTTAACTATTTTATCTCACAAAGTTTAGATTTGTTGTCATGTTTAAACTGTAGATTAATATATGTGGTGAAGATTAATGACAGTGGCCTGTAATGTGTCGTCGTGTCAAAAAGATGGTTATTATATTATTTCAAACAAAGTATTTTGTTTCATACTATTTGAGTTTAGGGATTATACTTGGCTTAAGGGTTTAGTAATTAAGAATTAGGGTTTAGTATTGTAAGATGGAGGTTGAGCTTTGGGTTTAGTGACCCTATCATGTATTGTTCCATTTGACGTTTAATAAAGAATGTTCTATTGTGTTCATCAATATATACTATACTATATATTTTGTTTGATTCTATGGATTTAGGGTCTATACTTGGGTTTAGGGTTTAGTGACTAAGATTTAGGGTTTAGTATTTGAAAGATGGGGAATGAGGTTTGGGTTTAGCATTTAGGAGTTGTTCCATTCTATTTACGAGATGTGGAATGGTATAGAAAAATCAGATATATATTTATATGGTAAACAAACGTGTGGTGTTGGTGGCATTACGTGGTGTGATAATTAATTGTGGAGTTCCAATTGTTGTTGTCATCAATTTTCTTTCTCTATTATTGGTAACTTGAACAATAAAAGGGTAGCGCCGGATAAATTTTACATAATTGTTATGGATTGAATTATGTCAAAATCAATGCTCTGCACTTAATTTTCATTTCAAATTTAGTCGTTTGGCAAATTCTCCCTTATAAATATATTTTATTTACTCTGTTATACTAAAAGTACTTAATTAATTTACAAATTAAAAATTTAATCTAGTCACCTTCTCATTCATCGTTTCTTTATAGAGAAAAGTGGTATTTTTTGTGTTTTTGCCCTTTTATGTTTCAAAGTTATTGTTTATTCTAATTGTAGAAGTTTAAACCGTAAGCACTTTATTAAAATTATATAAACTAAACTTGTCAATTGAGTTTTGATAAAAGTGGTATTTGAATAATTTTAAAAGTGGAGTATTTCATTGTTGAGATAGATTCTTTGATGTGATGTTGATAAACATTATTGTTCATGAAAGCAAATCATACTTATAATGTTTACTTGTTTCTTAAAGTGGATTTTTGAAATTGATACCTTACGATTATGGATCACTAGTGAAAGGAAAGACATAATGCAGTATCTATCAAAGAGACGAGATTACATACAAATATCTACTAAAATCCCATATTAACTTTATGATCATAAATTTAAACAGATGTTGAAGGGGTTCAATAAACCGATTCAATCTATCTTGGTTTGATCAATATGGTAGTTGACTATAACATATCAAAAGAAAGAGTGCTTTTTATACTGCTACTTATTTAAAGATGAGATATGAATGCAAGGTGGAAATGATACATTTGTGAAAGAATGGTTTAAGTTGGAATAAACCAGAGATAATTGCGTACTCATATGGGTAAACCATCCAAAATTTTTCATATTATTGCTGCTCAGAAATGTGAGGATTTGATGAATCAAATTCAGTCTATAATACATGCTTTATTGAAGCAAGATGATAAGGTGAAAAATGAGTATCACGTTCGCTTAAATGCTTCGATTGATGCTTCTAGATATTTGTTACAACAAAGATTATCTTTTCGTCGCCATATTAAAAAAGAAGAAGCATGGAATAAAAGAAATTTATTGCAGCTTGTGAAATATACAAACAAAAAGATGCCATAAGTAAGGTTATTCTGAGTAATGTTTGAGGAAATAACCCGATTCTCTAGTAATTTAAAAGAATATTGTACATTCCTTTGAAAAATTAGTACAACAAGCTATTTTAGAAGAAATTGATCATGATGTTTTTGGTTTGTTTGTTGAGAATTCTGCTGATGTTTCTCATAAAGAGCAGATGGATGTTGTATTTCAATATGTTGATAAAAGAGGAGCAATTAATGAAAGATGTATTGAAAATGTTCATGTAAAAGAACTGTCTTCATTAACTCTAAAGTCTGCTTGTTTGCTAGATATGAGATGAGCATCAAAAAGGTGAGAGGGAAAGGTTATGATAGTGCTAGTAATATTAAAGGTGAGTTTAATTGGTTGAGATCATTGGTTTCTAAAGAAAACATTTATATTTTGTTTATTGTTTCGCTCATCAGCTTCAGCTAGTAATTGTGGTGGCAGTTACCAAAAAAACACTTTGATATTGCTGATTTTTTTTATATGATTTCTACATCGTTGAGAGGGATTCTTGTAAAAGATAAGATCTGTTTCGAGAAATTCAGCGTGAAGATTTAGAAAAAAAAACAATAGTGGTGAAGCTAAGACCGGTCATAACAAAATCATAAACATTCTTTACCAAGACCTGCAAATACTTTTTGGGGTTCTCATCAGTCATCACAAAATATTTTTGAGGTTGGAATAATTTTTTTTTTACTACCATTAGAATTCTTGAGTATACCCAAGAAATGAAGGCGTGGAAAAAGTACAGAAACGTCAAGCGTGTGGTTTTCTCATACATTTCCGCACATTTGATTGTGTGTTATATTTGCATCTAATGTTACTTATTTTGTGGTTCACAGCAAATTTGTCATTGGCTTTGCAAGAGAAAGATCAAGATATTTTAAACGCTATGTTACTGGTAGAATCCCCTAAAGAGAACTACAAAAGCTTAGGGATTTACTTATGGATAAATTTGCTTCTTTTTATAAGAAACATGATGCTAAATGTTCATCATGGAAGAAGATTTTGTTGATCTAAAGAGGCCAAGAAAGATAAACAACATAACCAATATGCATCATTATAAGTTCAATTATTTATGCACAGTTCTAGATTTGCATATTCAAGAATTCATTGATCGTTTTACAGAAGTAACCACTGGTCTACTTATTTTTACGGCTTCTTTAAGTCCGATTGATTCATTTCATTTGATTTGACAACGAGAAGTTGATACGGTTAGCTAAGTTATATCCATATGATTTTAGCTATGGTTAGATTTTATCTCTAGAGCAGCAACTTGATATCTACATCGATAATATACCATAGATGAAAGGTGTAAGAGTGTGGATAATCTTGGATATCTTTCTTGTTTTAATGTGAAAACATAAAAGCATATTTCACATCTTTTGGTTTACAGGCTTTTAAAGTTAGTTCTAACTTTACCGTAGGGGTTGACAAAAAATCCAAAC